GGAAAAGGATGGAGGTTGAGACGTTCATAGGCTGCTTGTGCTGCTGCTGAGGTAGGTTCTAACTTGTGATTTAGCACTGAAATAATGATGTGCAATAATTTAGAATGGTCTCTCTTTCTTTTAGTGATAAATCTCCTTTCTTGGGAAGGAGAAGCGAAATGTCTTGCTTTCTACTTGCTGGATTCTGTCCATCTTTAGGTGGCTTGAGTACAGGAGACAACTGTTGCTGCAAATGCACAACTCTTCTAGTCTCCCATGTACCGTCATTTCCATCTGTGCCAGTAGCAACTCTGTATAAATCCTACAATACTTATGCATACAGAGAACTGAAATGGTCCTAGGAAGCATCTCTAGGATAAAGAATAGGAAGAGCTTCAGGTAAACCAGGACATGTGCCAAATAGGGTTTTTTGTTTTTTTTTTATTTAATGAAGCTAAATGAGCCTTGGGTTTTTCTTCCTGTCGGTTTTGCCACAGAGAGACAACTTTTTCTATTGAAAGGGTTGCATAAACATTTTTAACTGTATTGCTGAGTTAACCAGTCAAGATGAATGCTGCAGAATTTGTAACGCTGGCATCACTGGAGAGAAGTCGCTGCATCATAGGCTTTTTAAATACAGTTTGCAAGTGTGAATTCAGTTCTGCAGTTTTTAAGCTGCTTCAAAAAGCAAAACTGGATACGCAGATTCAAGCTCACACCTGCTTTCAGACTTGTACCAGTGACATGAGATAAGATGTGTCTCATCTACTAGGCAACAAAGCCCTTTTTTTTTTTTTTTTATGTGACTAAATAGTCCGATACTTTTGAAGTTCTCAGCACTGCGGAAAAATTTCAGCCCTTATTTAAGGGTTTGAATATGCAATTAAGCACCTAATTTTAAACCTGCGCACTCAATAGTATTGGACTTTGCTACAAAGTTATTTCCTTTTTATGGTATCTGCCAACTGCTGAAGTATACATTAGTACATTTGACATATTAATGCGTTCTAGTAATGGAGGTACCTGAAGAAGCAACAGCCAAATGATCACAAAATAGATGTCTGAGGTGAAATCAGAGACTGCAATAAACAAGGGAAAACTGCTTGCCTTTCTCATGTACTAACAAGGGACCTCCCATCTGACCTGAACAACTGCACCCAGCATCCCCTCTCATTGACTACCACGTGCATTATTTTCTTCCATCTTCTTGATGCTTTTTCCTCTCTTACTGAGATTCATTTTTGACAGGACTGTAGTATGTTCCTGTATTTCTCAATAAGCATATTCTGACTTGATCATAAATTAAAATAAAATACTTAGCTAATACACTAATATACTCTAGCGTACCTGGTTATAAAGAGATGTATCTGGCCTTTCCCAGTTCCTGAGTGGAGGTTTCTCCCTTGTCTTTCAGCTGGTCGGAGGCAGTGAGGGTAGCTGTGTATCCTCTGTGCACGCTGAATTACTGCGGGCACTCCCCAGGTATTGCAGGTGCTGGTCTTTACAGTATCACATGCCTATCACTCACTTCCAGATTCTGTGTGCTAGATGCTTATTGAGATGGCATTTGAATATAGTCCAGTTATTCCTAGTGAGGAGGTTTGTTGTGATATCACCAGGAAAAGCGGTGTTCTCAGCTCCAGCAGATGCTCGAGTGTCATCCAGTTTGTACTGATCCGTTGAACGGTAAATGTGTAACGTGAGGGACAGTCAGAATATTACGAGACAGGCTTTTAACACCACAGAAGCTATCTCAGTATTTAACATGCTGAGAAGACAAGCTAATAATGAAAGCTTGTCTAGATGTCTATGTTCCTTTGACTCCTTAGGTATTTTGTAGATGCTGATGGCCAGCGTGAACTTTAAATCAATTTATCGCGTGTGTTTACATACACAATAAAACCATTTACCGTATCATTTAACTACACATAGAGTGAATTGTTGACCATGAGCTGCTCTGACCTTTTCAGGTCTAATCGAGAAACCTGAAATATTATTTCAGCATGTCAGTTTCAGTCATGTGCAGTAACAGTATCTGGATCTAACTGAAAATGTCAGATGTACTCTAATATGAAACCCATCAAAGTTACGATGCATATGAACCAAGAACTGGTTAAGAATATAAATCTGTAACATCTGTGGTGCATCTCAGTTGCTTAGATAAATTGTTTGGCCATTGATGTGGGCTGAAAACATGCATTAAAAGCAATTATTTGGAATACATGTGAGATGTACAGCTGCTTAAATATTAAAATCATCTTGAAAGGGGAGTGATAACAGCATGTTAGAATATTACTGGAAAAAACAGTGACCAGTGAGAATACCAGTGCTCTAGTTAATGTCTTGCTACCTTCGTGGTGTGATAATGCAAGATTAGTAGTTTTGTGCAACCTCAATATTTTCCTTTTTCATTGTAATAATTTGCTGTTTGTGAAGCTTTTACTCTTTCCAGAAATAATTCATTATATAAGCTGAGGTGTCCTCATCAGTCTTATTTGTGTTGAATTTAGTACTAAGCATTTTTCTTGTGCTTTTTACAAAAAAGTACTTCTATTTTTAAAAGCTTTATAAAAATCAACACTGTTGTCAGTAGGTTATGGTGTTTAATGATGTTTAATTCCTTTGTTTTCTTTGTCTTATGTTTGAAGTTTCTGTTCTTGGTATTTTACTAGATATTCAGCTAGGATAAATCTTGTCTTTACTAATTATTTATTAAGCATGAGACCAATTATTCATTGGTATAAGTCCTGGGTGGTGAATTTAAATTTGGATTAAAGTGGATGGGCACAATGAGAACCAACTTTGTATCCTAAGAAAACGGTATTTTGTTAGCTAAACAGTCTATTGAGATTGTTTAATCTTAAAGCAGTTGTTACACTAAAATTGAGTTGTTTTTTTGTTGTAATCATGGATAGTTTGTGCATTTTGAGACATTATTAACTGAATTGCTTCTATAAGTAAAATGTTGTTGGAACTAGAATTAAAACAAACTATGGGAAGCATCGATGAACTTTGCATGAAGGAACAGTGTGTGTTTGACAGTACCCCGTTAGTGCTATTTGAGCTGTTCCTGTGAGGCAATGCTGCCCTCCGCTGGGATGCTGCGGAAAGTGGGAATTTTTATCCCTGTCAGAGCACGTTCCAGGGCTTCCTGTGAAAGAGAAATTGCTGAATTGGTGAAAAAGATGGGGGAAAAAAAATGCTCTTAAAAAGACCATCATGTGCTGTCTCTATTACAAGAGGAGGGGGAAAAAAAAAAGTGGCAGAGACATTTGTGCTGTGCTTTTATGTATGCATAGTGTGGATGTGGATGAATGTACAAATAACATACAGGAATATACTGTGAACACAAAAGACAGCAAATTGAGAGCTACCCAAATAAAGTTGGGTAGCAATTTGGAGGATGAACTGAAGACAAAATAAACAGATATGAGGTAGCTGCTGAATGTTAGGGGGAGCAATTACAATAAACTTTTGTTTAACAGTGTAGTTATGTCTTGTATATAATGCTTAGATATTTATCATTAATGTTTACACGTTCGATTCTGCAAAAGAAAAGTAGATGGGACCATGGCCAACAACTTGCATGGGAAGAGGGTTAGATCTTGTGCAAACGAAGCTATAGAAAAACCATCATCTTCTGTCAGGGTCTATTGATTACAAAGGTACCACCATAGGCTCAGGACGTCCCTCCACTGCACATTCCTGAGAGCTGAGGAAGGTAGTCCAATGAAATACTACTGTTGCATTGTCTATTCTTAATAGATTTCTTCAGACATCTGTTATTAACCACTGCTGGAGACAGAATATTGAGGTGCAAGGTTCTTTAGATTATCCTGCTATGGCTGTTGTCTTTTAAATTAAGTTTGTTGCTATTTGCTTTGATTTTGTCTTCCTTCCATTTGTCACTGCTAGGCAGTTTCACCATAGTCCAGAGAGCAGAAAGAGATGAACCTTGTTTCAAATATAAGAATTTTAGTTCCCATATCTGACTCCAGTAAAGTGTGTGTGGTGTGGTTTGTTTTTGTGGGTTTTGTTTGTTTCTTTTTTAAGGTGTAAAATACCTCTTTCTTTTTATAATTAAGATTTTTCTTATTGCTGGACAACTTGCAAAACACACAACCTCTTTTCCTGTGGCATATGACTTGGCTCCTGTTTTGTTTGCTCCTCTTCCCCCTTAATGCATTGGAGATCACCTAACATTAGAGAAAACTGGAGAGAGTATGTTCAAATCTCTGGTTCATGTATTCTTTCATGTCTTAGATGTGAACAGATGGCCAGATTCAGGATCAGGAGGGAGTTTTTTTTTTTTTCCCCAGACTGGTTTGCTTGAGGGCTTTGCTTGAGTGTGAGTTCTTGTCTACTGCTTAGGGTCAGGTCACATGGGAAATGTTTTAAGAACCGTGGAATATAATGACATTCCCAGCCTGACCTACTGCGGTCCAGCAGCGTGTTACAGTGGTGGTGGCTGTTGATATTTTACTGTCCTACTACCTTTATTGTAAGGTCCTAGGAGTTTTGTGTCTGTGATGCCTGCCAGTCCACAGAGCAGGTGTTTTAGTGGAGCATTTTGAACTAGACCTCAGCCACTCAGTTACCTGTGACTGTGGCAGATGGGACCTGAAGATCCCAGTGGTCCTTCACAGGCTTCTGTTTGTGATGTGACTTGGCTGACTGCAGAGTAGTAGTATTTACCCTCATGTGCCTAAGCTAGTAGGCTGTAATAAGCAATCCTTTTGAGAACTAGCTGGAAAACTACTGCAGGTATGGCTCCATAATAGCTAAAGGTGAGCTCAGTCAACACTGAGATGCCTCATTCTGCCTTTCACTTCGTGACATCCTGCCACAGCTAAACCAGTTTTATACGTTCTTATTTTCTGTTAGATTAGTATTCTGTCAGTGTAGCATCCCAGCTCAGCTCATCAAATGGTTATGGGAATGGCAGTGGTGTCATTCCTTGACCTAGAACAAATGTATGAGGTCTGAGACTGTGTAACAGTTTTCTTTCTTCTCCATAACTTTTGCAGGTATTGGGGCTGCTGGTGTGGACCCTGATTGCTGGAACAGAATACTTTCTATATCCCGCCTTCGGCTGGGTGATGTTTGTAGCTGTGTTTTACTGGGTTCTCACCGTCTTCTTTCTCATCATCTACATGACAATGACCTACACCAGGATCCCGCAGGTGCCATGGACCACAGTGGTAAATACACCCATACTTTGTTGTTTCAGGTTTGCTGGGTTATGAAGGGAGCGAAATATTGATGCATTCTGTGGGTGTAGTTAACCAATTGTACTTGTGCTTTTTGGAGATTTTTCCCTAATTACTGTGTGTCTGCCTGCCTGCAGTGTTTAACCTTCATGCTACCCAGACACTTTTAAAACACTTTTCCTATGATGTTTTACTTGTTCAGTGGTTGACATAGTGACTTGATTTTTAATAATGTACATGTGACTCATATGTGTGCACAGTGGCCTCTTTTTCTCCCTGTAGTGATTACATCCCATGAAGAATGAGCCTGTTGCTGCCTCTGAGCTAACAGACCTGGCCATATGGCTTAAACAGCAGAATCCCCTACTTGAATCAACACAATGAATTGGAAGCAGGACCTTGGCTCTTAAAACACGAGTCTTCCTCTGCTAAAGTAAAAGCAAAGGTGGATCAGAGGTAGCAGCAGTCTGACAATCCATATACAGCCTACTGTGAAAATGGTGCTGAAAATGAGTGTTATATATATGTAAAATAGATGCCATGTAATCCTCTGCTTTTAGCTCAAGACTTAATGCAAATCAGATAAACAGCTAATGTAATTACAGAAAAATTTCACAGGCACTTAAAATTCAGATCCAGTTTTTGTGGTTTGAACAAACCTGGCTAGCTGTACCTCTCAACAGTATATTTTAACATGATTTTCAGAACAGGATAGTGTTCAGGGTAACAGATCCTAAAAGTCATTGTTATCTCAGCCAACTGGCTATTTGTGACCCATCCAATAAATTTTAGCTTTGCATTTCTCTGAGACAGTTCTTTTTTTTTTTTTCCAGCTAAAGATTCTTTATTAGATTTCTGTTATTTTTGTGAAAAAATACATTTGACTTCTGTGTTGCAAACAGCTTGTTATCAGCTATACTGTGTACATGACTAAAATTGAATACTCTTTTCGTTTTGTCTTCCCATTTGCTGCTGTAATAAATAGTCAGCTATAGCAATTACTAATAAGAACAACCAGGATTATGTTCAGATAGCTTCTCTCTTTTCAGGTTTCATGACCAGCAATTACCATTAAGGCTATAACACTGCTATAGAAATGTTGGATTATTTCAATTACAGCAGTAATGTGTCTGGGTACATTTAAAGGTGTGGATTTTTTTTCCCCCATTGCATTAGATGTAAGTAAAGTACATTGAAAGGGAAAGCATCTTTGTATCTGTTTGGATACAGCTTTAGTCATTAACCCTTTTTCATCAGTTTAACATTATTATCAGGCATCAGCTGCACATAAACGAGTTGCCCCTGATCTATGTGGCAGAGAAGCTGGAGTATTTGATTTGTTTCTGCTTCATATCGGGTGTACTTCTTGCTCCAAGTTCTAAACATATTGTAGAAAAGATCACATAAAAATAGGTCCAAAAGGTAGTCTCATTTTATAGTAAAGGGTGAGATGAAGAGAAAATAAATGCAAAATAAAGAAAAGATGCTTGCATTCCAGCTTGTTTTGCTCTAAAGTATTAAAAGAGCTGTTGGGGACAGCCTTTGAATTGGACCTCTGCCACTCCTGGCTGGCCAAGAGGAGTGTTGAGTCTCTATTCAGAGCGATGTTGTTAATGTCTTCATTCAGGAGAGTATGACACACGCATTTTTGAGTGAGCTTACGCCCATCTTCCCCTGTTTTCTGAAGTATCCTGATTTCAGTCTCTGCTAGTTACTGCTCCGCCTCCTTAGGCGACAGTTAGCTCAAACTGTGCCTATTGTATGTGGTACAATAATCCAAAATTTACATCTGGACTTCTCTGTCATAAATCCACTTTTTGCAGGTTAAGCACATTACCAAATTGCTTAAGATGCAGTTACTTTTACTGCAGATTAACCCAAAGGATGTGCTTCAAAACTGACTCTCCTTTATAGTGCAAGTTCTTTGCTAAAACAATCAATGGAAGCTTGTAAAATCTGGTAAATTTGAATTTAAGAAGCAGATGGTAATTTAGCATGAACCATTTGGTTTGAGTAATATATTGGCAGTAAAGGCCCAATCAGCTTGCATTGCATTCCATCTTCCCCAACACTGTTATTTCCCAGAGCAGCACTTCTCAAAAATTATGTGCTTTTTTTTCTTTTCTACATGACAAGATATTGCAGGGATTTGTAACTTTCCAGGATAATTGAGTCTTTTTGGAACGGGAAGTCTAAAAATAACAACAAATACTTTAGGCAATCAAATTTGAAGTTTGAAAATCAGTGCTTTATAGAAGTTTACCTGAACCTGCCAATTGTTGGCATCTTATCCTAAAATTGACAGTTTGATATTTTATTACTGTAATGCCCAGGTAAGACAAACGAGGTGAGATCTGTGGATAGAGATAGTAACCTTTTATTAGATCAACTGATGCAGGTGAGATAAACCCCACTCATTTCTGGGTATATGAATCAAACCTCAAGTGCCCAGCCTTGGACTCCATCTGGGTGCTGAGGCGCTGTGCATGGTTTCCTGCAGAAAAGTCAGTAAGTGGCTCTTTTCCAAATGCCCTGAAGTTGCAAGGACTTGGGAACCACAGGAGGATGTGCCTGCCCTTCAGCCTGCTCTGAAAACTGCAAGAAGGCTTTTTGCACGGGAGGTCTCATGTAGGCAGCGATGAGCTGAATACTGACATGTTGACAGATGACAGCACAGGATGCTGCTTTCTGGAGGGGCCCGCAGCTCAGAAAGCAGGTGTTTGGGGAATGGCTTCTCTTCAGAAAGTTTTGAACCTTGTGTGTCACAGGAGCGTGTGGCAGTGAGCCAGACTCCACCAAGTCTGAAGTAAACTCTGACAGAGCCAAATGTCCTGGAGATGGATGTGAGGAGCTCCATACCAACCACTTCAAGCTGTTGATCCATACTTTGGTGCACTGAGGGAATTGCTGATGTGGATACAGCTGCTGTCGCTGCCTTCTGAACTTCTCTTCATGCAGGCCTTTTCTTAGATTCTGCCAGAGCTGGTGACTAGTGAATTAAATAGTGAATAGTTGGCATATATTCCTAGCATCCATTGGGTCACACCATGGAAGTTAAGAAGTTGGAGCTGCACCAGTATGGCAACATTTAGAGGCACCTGGAGCAACAGAGTTAAGGGTTATGATATTTGTGTGTACAACACTAGGACCTTGTTTAAACTGAGTTCCTAATTCCTGCAGTTGTAACTAGGCGCAAAGCACGTCTCAGGTATTCCACTTAAACATGGCACCAGTGAACTAAAAGTATATTTTATGGCCAATTTCATATGCCTTGGACAAGTAGCAGGGTGGAGTTTTGGGGGACTGCTTTTTTTAAATAAGAACGAACTTCCTATAGGCATGACCAAGTAGTGAGTAAGTAAAGGACAAAGTATTAAAATTAGGTACTTTTTAAAAACACCTCATACCTTTTTATCTGTCTTTCATCTTCTTAGACTTCAGTTCTCCCTTCCTTTCCTGTTCTCTCTCACATGCAAAACTCAAACAAACTGTTCTTGTTTGTTCCCTGTAATGTTACTTGAGATCCACGTTACCTGCTTTGCTTCTTTCTTAGTAATGAATATAGGTACCCTGAGACATTAACTCTGCTCCTTGGAAGAGAAAATGCAGCATCTGCCATGGATAGGTCTTGATGACTCATGTAGTCCATTCAGACTGTTCTCCTCTTTGGTTTTATCAGTTTCTTTCTCCTCTCAAAAACAGGCAGAAGGGAAAGGTACTGAAAGGTAGAAGAATATGACTGAAAAAATTACAGAAGTGGAGAAAACAAAGTTTTTTAAGCTTTATAAATATTCTTCATGTGCCAGGAGTTACTGATTCCTATGGTGCATCTTTGTGTAGATTAGAAATGTAAACAAATTGCAGTTTTGTTTTGGTTTTTTGTTGGGGTTTTTTGGGTTTTTTTTTTTTTAGATAGAATAAGTCATATTCTTACTGCCTAACACTTAATTTTTGATAACCAAACTGTCTTTTACTTGTGGAAAATCACAGTACACCACCTTTAAGACTCTTCAGGGTTTAGTGTGATGGAGAGAACAGTTTGTCCAAAATGTGCCTTAATGTTTATGGATCTTCAAAATAAACAGTTCAATTTTAATCTTACAGATAGAAACTTGGAAGAAGGTAAAAACAGTTAAGATGTACACATTTCTTGTGTACATTTCATGTGTATGTTATATTTCAGAGGAGAGTTCTGTAATGTTGGAATAGAAAATGGTAACAAATACATTTGCATGTTAGTTACTTCCATTGTTTGTTTTTTCAACAGGGTCTGTGTTTTAATGGAAGTGCCTTCATTTTGTACCTCATTGCTGCCATTGTAGATGCATCTTCAGTTACCAAAGAACTGGACAGTCACAATTACAACAGCTGGGCAGCTTCTTCAGTGAGTTCATTTTTTGTTTAAATCAGTTTTATGTCCAATAAAGTTATATCAAAAGAAGGCTTGCTGGAAGTGTGGGTTGAAATCTGTGTGTTCTGGGTTTTTGAAAAGCTGCAGACTGATACAGAAGTTCACACACAAAACCTATAGATAGCTGTCTTTAGTTCATACTTTTTGGAAGTGACTAGAAATTCCACCAGGAGATGACAGTGACATCAGAAAAGGCTGCAGTGTTTTAAGATCCTGCTGCTTTCCCCCCCTATGCCCCTGTTTATTACTAGCTCTCTGGCAGAAGTTATATCCTGCACGTTGGAGCAGACAAAACAGACTAGACTGTAGTCTCACCCAGTCTACTGACAAAACAGTAGACTGGGTGAGCACCAGGTCACCTCAGTGCACTTGGACAACTTCAAAAGCAGTTTAAACTAACTCAGCTGACTTTGCATGCATGTGGATAAGGTGCATTCGGCTTTTTGTGGGCTGAGCCATATACACAGCACCATGAACACAGAGACCCGAATACCTGTTCTGTTTTTGTCTTGGGAATTGGATAACTATGTCCCTTGTCCCTGCCAGGAGGAGAGAGGGTCTTCTCCTCTTGGCAGTTCATAACTATTGATCTGTTACTCAGCCACTATTGTTGACAAGAACTTGCTTGCTGTAGATAAGCTTCTATGCTGATGCAGGCTTTATGCCAAATGCATGAATGCTCAGTGTCTCATGGATGTTTGGAATCTCTTGTAATACCTTCTAATACTGCTTTTCTAATGCACTGTCTAAATAAACTATTAAAGGTAGATTTTTGCTTTCTGAACCCATTAAGGGTTTCATGGATGAATGTTTGTGAGAATATAGTAAATCATCCATCCCCAACAGTCATTCTCTGTTAGATTTTAGATGGAGCTTTTATTTCATAAGGAAATAATTTCTTATGCTACAAGAAGAATGCTACAATTTTCTATTGTAATAATATTTTACAGCATCATCTACAGTTTTTGGTGCCACGGATTCAATTTACATTAGACAAGATTCACCAAGAGCCCTCTGTTGGAGGTCTTAGATTTACTGCCTGTGTGCATGCTTAATAGTGCCCTGCTCTCAGAGCTGAAGTGCCTACCCAGGCCAATGATGGTGTATAAGCAAGAAACATTGATAGAATCATCAAATATTTTTAGGCTGGAAAGGACCTCTGGAGGTCATCTGGTTCAACTCTCTCCAACTTTAAAGCAGGTCTAACTCACAGCAGGCTGCCAGAGCCTTGTCCACTTGAGTTTTGAGTATTCCCAAGGATGACTATTCCATGGTGCCTCTGGGCCCCTGTTGCCATGTTTTATTACTCTCATTATGATTTTTTTTTTCCCCTCACTCCCTAATATATAATTGAAATTTCCTTTCTTGTAACTTGTTTTTATTTCCTCTTGTCCTATCACTACTCATGTCCGAGAAAAGTGGTGTTAATCCTGTTGGCAATGTCAGCTTTATTTGGTTCGGTTACCAGCACAAAACATTCTGGTCTTATCATAAGACCATTTTGAACATTGTCTATTTTGAACAACATGCAGTGATTAACAGGAACTTAACCACTGGCACTGAATTGGACTTTATCAGTACAACTGAAATAGTTCCCAGCTGTTCTTTGGTTCCTGTGTGCACAGGCTGCGAGGGCTGCAGAAGCAACACCACTGACACACTCTGTAGTTCTTAATCTTTAGACATAAAATAAATCTAGCCTGCTCTGGAAGGCTTATTCTGTAATCAGTGGTATCTCAGCGTGGTTGCTGTCCCTGTTATTTGCACTGAGGAATCCCTTTATTCAGTAGAGGACCTCTGGAATTGGTAACTGCTGTTTGAGGACATGCCTGGGCCTGCATCTGAATCCAGGTTTTCTCCTGTGTGCCATAGTGAGGTATAGATGGGTGGGCTGTAGGCAGTGCCAGGAGCGTTAGCTTGAGCTCACACTGTCCCATGTCACACTGTCCCTCAGCTTTTACCAGCAATGGGTGTTAAAAGCAGCAGGTAGAGGATTGGTGGGTGTCCAGTCTGTGGGATCTGTAATATGCCATGTTTTCTCTGCTTCTAGGCCCATATTTCTGTGTATAATACAAGCTTGCTTACACAGTGTTGGCTGCAATGGCCACACAAGTAGAAGGAGATGAAAGAGTGCCAGTGCCATTTTAGTCACGCTGCTATTTCTCCTTTTTCCAAATCCCATAGCTATTTTTTTCATGGAAATGACAGTGCTCTCAGATATTTATTTTTTTTTCCTAATATAATTTTTTCCCCTTCTCTCTACAGTTCTTTGCCTTCGTGGTTACCTCCTGCTACGCTGGAAATACATATTTTAGCTTTATATCTTGGCGGTCACGAACTTTGCAGTAAATATTTTGTTAAAATGAATTCTGTAGTATAAAACATCTTGAGGATTATACATTTTTGACAAAAGCTTGGAAGAGGGATGAGGTCTTTTTGAACATTTCTGTTAGAATTGACACAGCATATTTTAAGCTGAGATTAAAATTATTATTTATAATACAATATCATCTCTAGAGACCTCTTAACAGTGACTTTGTACTGTAAAATAAAATTTCATACTGTTTCTTTTAAAATTAACATGGTATTTTTCTAGACATTGTATAGATGTTTAAAGCTTTAATAAACCTTACTTAGACAATGTGCCAATTTTGTAAATGTAACTTTTAAAATGTTACAGGTATGCTTTTGATACTGAATGCTACAAATCAAAATTAAGATTGATACTGTCTCATCATTATGTATAAAAAGTGACATTGTGCAGGAAAAAAGCACCCAAAACTTAAAAATTAAATAAATAATTGACCCAACTGTGCGTGGTTTGTAAACTGGGAGTAGAAGGTTGCCTTTTTAATTCCTTTTTCAGAGTAAAATATTTACAGCTAAGAATTCTGATGATCCTGTCAGTTTGCATATTCTAACAGCTTCTCAAAATCATGAGCTTGCTTTTGGAACCTGTTACTGTAGATCTGAAGCTTGCTGAGGAACATTGCACCTGAAACATCTTATCTTAACAGGTTTCTCAAATCCAGCAGGCTCCAAGGCATAAGTCTAGACAACAGTCCCCTTAGTGCTCCGTGTGTAGCCTGCCGAGAATATCACAAAACACCTACTAGAGGTAATACGTTTTGTTTCTCAGGGGATCGTGGGTTTTCTTCTTTTCTCCTCAGACTGGGCCATTAATCTGTCCTAATTAAAATCTAACTCCTATGAAATCATATAAAGATTAAATGCATAGAAGAACTGTCAAGACGCCAGTGCTAGAAACAGAATTTCCTCCCTCTTTTCCTGGCTGCTGGCATCATCTGTGAGTTGTTAGTTTAACAAATTAAGTTTTTAATTTGACACTTACATGTAAATGTATTTGAGTTAAGCAGGAGTATGACAGAAGAGTATGACTTTCAAAACAGTCACCTTTGAAAATGACTTTCAAATACAAATTACCTCAGGAATTTTTTCCAGGAATTACATGGAGAATGTAAGATTGTAATTGTTTTGTGCTATTATTTAAACCCTTCCTCATTTAAAACTACTGGTAAATCTTTTATTCCTGGATTAAGAAGATTTGGACTCTTCTGGTCTTCAGAAACTTAGTTGGATGATTACATATGGTAGTAGAGAAATCTTGTCGCTTAAAAAAAACTTTCTTTCTCTCAGTAACTCAATGGTGTGTGCTTACTTACGTGTGTGCCCTGCAGCAAAAATGATTTATCAGCAGCCTGCTAATGCTGTTCTCCATCACATTGTTTAGTTCTTGATTATCTGTTGGAGTCACAGGATTTCAGTGTAAGGGAAGCCAAGATATTTAAAAACCTATATTTGTCTGCAGATTGCATCTGGCCTGTACAACAAAGGTCAGGCTGGCTGCTGCTTGCTAAAATTATCCAGTTGTGAGAAGGAAGAAGGGCAACCAGCTGTGCATTTTATCTACACAGATAAAATATGTCATTAAAATCCCATATGCTCTTGTCCATTGCTGGAAAAAAATCAAAGGCATAAAAATGATTCAAATGTCAACTGATAAAATGTGACTAGAAATATAGCCAGAATTAAAATCTCATCAGTGATTTTCTCATGCTTTCATAGTAATAGAAATTCTTTCTTAAATGATATTTGATGTACCTGTCTTTAAGTCCAAAGAAGGTGACTATGTTTGCACAAATGCCTCTTGATTTTATCATAATGGTCATAACCCAGACAACATTTGTGGATAGAGACAGTAAGAAGGAGCAATATATTTCATCCAGTTTAACAAAAACTCATGGACACTATGTGTTACATGTCAGAATAAGCCCATTAATGAAGGACAAAACCACACCAGACACCAGATAAGGAATGATTCTGGCAAAGTATCTACCACCTCTCTCAGTCTTCAGTGCTGATCCTCAAGGGAAGATGTATGGAATGTTTTCCAAAGGCAAATCTGTGAGCTGAATTACCAAGTCTGAATTTTAAAAAATACGTACTAGGCAGAAATTAGCTTTATGCTTGGCCTTGCTTTTTTTCACAAACCATAACTTATCTGCCTTGCTCTTTCCTTTTAGAAAGATAATTATCTTACTTCCTGTGCTCGCTCTTATCTGTCTTATTTCTCGGTTGTTCTCCAGGTACCAACTGTCTGGTTTTTTTAAGTGTTCTGAATATCTAGTTAAAATCTGAGGAATTGGTACAAGCTGAGAATTACTTCTGAAGGTTTGCTCCTCCCATTTCAGGCCTGAAGAAAGGCATAAGCACCCAAAAGGTTATCTGGTTCTTCAGTGCATTAGTCTTAAATACCGATTTGCAAACTATGACTTAACGCCTTTGTGTATTCTAATATTGGTAAGGAAGATAAGCTACCTGTGTTTTATCATGTAACAATTAAAACAAGATTTGTGGCTGCAGGCATTGCTTTGGGTTTGTAAGACTGAAAGAACAACTGGTAAGTGATGAAATCACTACTGAAATTCTTAATACAGATATTTAGAAGAACAAACAAAATCCTAATCAACTTGCAAAATGAAGGTGTTTGACATTACGAATAACTTGTTTCAGACAAACAGTCTCTGAAAAATCTAAGTCACCCACAAATATAAAGATGCTTGATGTCAACTTACGGCCATCAAATTTCCTTTATTAAGGAGTTGTCAGTACCTCTTACTGTCATCATACATGATACACTTAACCAGATGAAGCAAATAGCATAAGAACTGTAATAAAAACTTAAAATTCAGCAGTGCTTTAGACTGACTTTTTGCCAGTAGTTTACAGAAGATGCCTGTATTTCTGAGCAGAAAATATGACTTATTCTACTTGTATTAATTTAAAGGTATCTCTATTTCACTGGGCTGAACTCAGATCAGCAGGGCCCCAGTCATACACATACTTTCAAAAGAAGAACTAAAGAAGCTGAATCAGTGGGTAAGAAAAATACATTTCTTAAAAGGAAGTACCTAGTTACTAGAACCTTCCTCCACAGAGCTTGTAAAAAGCCTATAAATGTGCATGTTTCTGAACTTGAACTGTAGGGAGAAGAAAAGACGGGTGGAAAGCATCTAGCATTTTACTCCTGTGTAGATTGGCAATGTTGTAGCTTCGATATCTGATCAAAAGAGATTAAATGTGGTGGGATGGTTAATATCTTGTATTGCAACTACGAGCTGGCTTAATAGAAGCCCAAAACTATGTACTGCTCCGTCTATTACAGACCATTGCCTGCACTGGCAAACCCTGTCTTGCTCATGTTGGTGACAGTAGCTCCTTCCTTCTGTTGGAGATCATCTGGACTTACCTGTCTTCCCTCCTAAGACAATTTTAGTTGCTGACCGAGCTATTAAATGCTAAATAGGAACAGAATGTGCATCCTGAGTGCAGGACACAGCAGCAGAAGATGGGGTGACTCCTCTAATGAGCATAAAAGCAGCATATGCCCAACTTGGAGGCCTGCTCTTACCTCACTTGTCAGAAAGCAAAACAAGTTATTTTTAAACTTGAGGAAATATATAGCTTCCTTTGCTGAGTTTTGTTGGTATCTCTGCATGATTTAATTCAAACAACGGCGTTGAGACATTTGGACAGTTATTGCCGTTTTGCCTGTCGCTGCCCATTTAATGCAATTAAATGTATTTTTCTCTTCTACGAGATGATGAATTGTAAAGTTTGGGGGGTTTTTGGTGAGAATAGCCGTTGTGTGGGAAGCCGCCGGTTGAAGCAGCTGTACCCCCGCTGCTCCCCTCCGAGAGCACCGCCGGCGAACTGACAGGCCGAGGGGGCTTTGATCGCTCCGGCAAAGCCCCTCCGCCTGCCCGAGCGGGGATCCTGCTCCCGGGCCCGGGGCCTGGGCCGGGCCCCGCTTCCTCGGCGCGGGTGCGGCGGCCCCTCCCCCGCGGGGAAACCCCCGGCGGCTTCTCCT